CTCAGTAAGGGAACCTGGATGTTTGTGAAGCACACTCACCACTGCCAGCCCTGGTAATGGCCCTGGGCATGTTTCCATTGGAAAGTTCCCTATAGGGGATCTGCAGAGTGGTGTCAAGACTGCTGAAACCCTCCTTCAAAGAGTACTGCTTGTAGTATTCCACCAAGTCCTGTGTGAAACAAGCACAATAATAAAACACACCCATAACGATAAGCCAGGGTGAATCTAGATGGTACTATGTACAAATTTATAGAAATTAAGTGGTTGGTTACAAAGGGTTATAAAGGAGCTGCTTGCTTGACAATGCAACAGCAACCAGTGCTTAGCTCAGTGTTCCTGAGCCGGTCAACTAACCACAATATATTGTTCTATCTGCCCATTTCAAGTGTAAGTACTGGAAACAAGCAAATATTAGCTACTGCCATATAATACAACAGGCAGTTGCTTACAACTTTCCCTTGGGGCTTTGTTAGTGCATGAACAAATGTAGAAATAAACCACTAGAAGACATATTTTCATCATTGCACAAAAGTTAAATTTCCACTTGCATGCAGAGGTTTATCTCAAAAAAGTAGTGTTATGTCAAAACAATTATACTCATTAATGCTACAGTAGTTCAAACACAACAACAAAAATCCATACAAATTTAAATCCTTTACCAGCACAGTCTTAAACAGCCGGGTCTCAGCGATGTAAAAGCAGCCATCCTTGGTCAGAATCTTAATGTGCTTGACTTTATCGTTGAACCTGTGAAGGATGAATGAGACATGGGTTGATAATGAACTACGCATGCTTCCACATCAATCCAGTCTCTATGGTGAACCATCACGAAGGACTGTCTGAGCTGACTGTCGGTTACCAAGGGGGGAAGAAATCACATCCAATTCACTCAAATCAGATAATAATAAAAGTATCATAAGATTACCCAGTTCCACCCTGTAAAATCAATTCATACTAGAAACCAGTGGTTTCCAAAAAATATGCAATGTCTATTTGTAGCCCTTCATCACAAGTGGACATGAGTTGTGAGCATTAAGAGCAAGAACAAGAAAAGCCAGAAATTCGAAGAAAAAAAAAAGATAATTTTGTGTAATAGGAAAGTATGACCTTCCTTTTTTTCCCTTTAATCATCTTGTGACCCCTCAGAATTTTATTGGGCACAGACCCCAGTTTGTGAACCAAGATGGTATATTCTTATGAACATGCTGAACTGACTTTGAAATACTGTCTGAACCAATAAAAAACGTATAAATCTCCCACAACAAAGAAAACTAAAAATAATGTATGAGTTAAATCCAGGTTTCATGGTTTGTTTGTTTGTTTAAAGAAAGACCATTTTGTACTAACAGGAAATTGTACAAAAGATGTGATAACTTACAACAACAAAAAAAATGTTTTGGAGCTGTCACCACCATATATAATTATAATGGGCCTTTTTTACAGCAAACATTCTGAATGATAGCAGGAAAAGCGTAATTAATAACATTAATGATGGCTTTGTTTCCCTTTAAGTGTGTCAGTAAGCCTTGTCAGTGAGTCAGCAGTGGCAGGGTTCTGAAACTAGTAATGCTAAATGGAGGGCAGACACTATTAATATCATAAAATCACACCTGTTGTTGTCCTGATTTGACATGTAAAAATGTCTCCTACGAAAAAGGCAGTTCTCCAAGCAGCTAATCAATGTCCTTTGTGCAAAGCATTGTAGGATAATGGTGTCCATCCCTCTCTCATCACACTCAACAATCAAGCAGATTTAGTATGCACACTGACAACTTTGAGTATGCTTAATTTTGTATTTTCCTCAGTTTGAACACACTGTGTATTGCCAACCATGTTTGTAGTATGTCATGTAGTATGTCATATGAAATTGGGACACAGTGCAGGTATAAACAAAAAAAGAAATCTGATCCTTAAAATATGATTCATTGTGTACATTAGCTGACACTATCTTTTTCTGTCTAGTAAGTTGCTCTCCGCACCTGGTTCTAATCAGTTGCTAAGAGGTAGAAGAGCAGATGTCTATATTATTTAAGTTTTGACAAAGACACTATAATGTTAAAACACATTACACTTGTTTTTTTTTTTTTATAATAATAAATGTGTATTTTGGAATAAGTTTAACATAAATATTGCAGTTGATTCTGGGGATTTCTGATTTTTTTTTATGAAGCACCCCTATTCTAGAAGAGGAAGACACTGCTCACTAAATCCAAGATAGAAAAATGTATCACAACTGTATCACACACGTCATGTCATGTGAGATTCATAGCAGAAGTATTTCGCTGAAAAGTAATGCAGGCCAACCTTGAAAATACATATGCATTGTTCAATAAAGGTACAAGTGTTAATTTCCTCTCAAGCCAATTGTGAGCACACTACTGCATGTCTCCCATATGGCGATGTGTATGTTACACTGGAGATAGATCCACATTGTAAATCTCCCAGTGCGGCCTATAACGGGTGAGAAGAATATGGCCATGTTGTAAATTCACTGATATATTATGACTATGTGGTGAGTAATACATTATTTATGTGTTTTGAGTTATGGTGCATAACACATGGAGACAGATGAGCCCTGTTTGGTGAAGGCTGAGTCTTTGTTTCCTCCTATAGGGTCCTATGGCTACACATACACACTACACAAACTGACGACTCATAGTGTTTGACATTAGACAGTTCCAGTTGATTAGTAGCAGCTCTCTGTATAAAGCTCCATTATCTCAAATGGCCATCATGATAATGATCTTAAGCAGTGAGACAGGCAATTAGGATTGGAGAGTTGAGAAACTGGCCCTGTACATCAAAGCTTTGAATGAGGGACGGTATGAGTCCACCAAAACCAAATGGGCTGGAATGGTGTGTCACTGGCTAAACAGTCTTAACATCCAAACACTATTTCAGAGTGCACCCTCAATCGTTATAATCTCTTGGAGCTGTCATGCCAGGTCAGAAGGACTCGATAGTCCTTTCTATTTTTAAAAGACTGAATAAGCTTTGATGTAGCCAGAAAGATATTCGCTAGTGAAATAGACAGTACTGTATTTCAAAAGAAGGATACCGAGGCACTCAACTTGCAGATAAAGCAGCCATTTAGTAAGGCCTAAAGGAAAGGGGGTTTTATCTACAATTCAAGTGTGTGGCTAGCTTTCTTTTGAAATGAGACTGATAGCCAAAGAGCAGCAAATAGTATGATGCAAAGCTATCAGGTTCTCCTTGAACATGTTTCTGCGCAGAAGAGACAGACAATAGATAGATGGTAAAATAGAAAATCCAATTCCACCTCTTCCCCATGCTGCTTTCAATTGAGATGTATTGGCTCCGATCATCACAGCAAACTAAAATGAATGGCAACAATCTTAAGGTAGGATTTAAGCTTTAAAGGTCAGATATTCATATCAAAAAAAAAAAGAAAAAAAGTTTGAGCTTCCTTTACCCAGGTTCAATGCAATTCAATTAAATTTTATTTGTGAAGCGCCAATTCATAACAAAAGTTATCTCAGGACACTTTTCAAATAGAGCAGGTGTATACCATACTCCTTATAAAATTATTTACAGAGACCCAACAGTTACCACCACGAGCAAGCACTTGGCGGCGGCGGCAGCAAGGAAAAACTTCCTTTTAAGAGGCGGAAATCTCGGACGGATCCCAGCTCTAGGTGGGTGGCCGTCTGCCTCGACCAGTTGGGGTTAGAAAGAGAGAGAGGAAGAAAGAGCGAGGGTTAGAGGGGTAAAGAGAGAAGGACAGAGACAGAGACAAAGGTGCACAGCAACAACACTAGCAACATCAATACAAATAGAAATGACTTATGATGATGATGATGATGGACTGTTTATCTTTTCTACCAGTAACTCAATAATTTAATATGGATGGTTTTCATCTTCTGATCACTTGTCTCACATACAGTGGTAAAAGAATGGAAATACACCTATGTGACACTTACATTGTTTCTATTCAGGTGTTTACATGGCTAAAAATAGTAGCACCTCAATTCAGCCTCAGCTAAACTTTAGCGACAGCTGGGATATAATGTTAGCAACCTGATGCACAATCCATCTTACGGTACACATAATGGTAATGCACAAAAGAAAAAAAAAAAAATGTCATAAGCAGTTTATCTCAGACAATGAGACAACTTTTTCTTCATTAGCTAACGTTATGGCAAATACAACATCCTGCTGCAGACTTCATGTGACAAAGACAATAGTCTAAATATTACTATAGTAACTGCATGAGTAGCCTATGTTTGCCAACTCAATGTACTGCAGCTTCTTTAACAAACCCAAATGCCATTTCTCAAACGATGTCTATTGTTAACTTTTAAAATCACGAAATTCAACAGGATTCCTGCAAAGCCTTGAGAATTTAATGGCCCACAACAACAATGGTCCATAATCCATTTATGTTTACTGAATGGAATATGATGAAATTTAACACTGAGTTTGGCATTTCTGAGCACTCTGAGACAGATATCTCAAAACCTGGTCCAAACAATTGGCTCGACACCACTAGGGTTTGAGTGAGAAAATGTATTTTTTTCCAATTTGGGTGAGACAACCTTTTAAACTAAATTCTGTCCCCCACCATCTGCATCTTAGTATCAGCTGTGATTCATCAGAACAAGAACACTTTTTCCATTGTGGCTGTTGATGATTATATAGTCACTATAACTTCTTGTTTTCCATTGACATGAGTGGAACACAGCATGATCTCCTTCTGCTGCGACCCTTCCGCTTCAACATTTGATGAGCTGTTTGTTTTCAGATACTGCACCATTGTTGTACGGAGCTGTTATTGGCATGTGGGCATTTTGTTAGCTTGAATGATTCTTGCCACTCGCCTCTCACAATATGGTGTTTTTGCCCACAAGACTGCTGCTGACTGCTTGTGTTTGGTTTATTCCACCATTCCTGATAAAGTAGAAACTGTACGAGATTTAGAATGGAAATAAATTAAAAACAAGACTTCATGTTACTTACTTGATACTGATGGCGTATTCAGTGCACTCTTTACTCCTGTGTCGAACCAGATAGGTGCTGTTTCCTCGGTCCAGGAGCTCCTCCTCAGCCTGGTATCTCTCCATAGGCCCTGCAAACCTGAACCACCCGTGAACAACTACTGCACTTACACTGCAATCAATCATTCTGAACATGAGGATGAGAACAGTCAATACACTCAATAAAATGGAGTAAGAATGACTTGTGGTTATTGTTAGCAATCTACAGTCATTTGTTTTCATCACTTACCAGAGCTGAGCAGAGTAATCGACAGGTTTTGGAACCTGGCATAGAAAGAATTGTGGTTATTTTGTGTCTTAATGGAGTCGATACAGAGGGGTGGAGGTCATTTGTGGTAATGTGATATTCAAGCCACATCTAATGGCTAAAATCAGTCTTCTACAGCGAAAAAGTGCAATTGAAAAGCACTACATTCCTTTGCTTAGACATCAATAGTAGCCATTATCAACTGAATGCATTGTAATCAGACCAAATGTGTCTTATTGATTGCAAAAAATATGCACACTTACACATGGGCAAGGCCTCACAGCATCACTTGGAAAGAAGCCAATCTTGCTTGTCGCCAGAATTTTGCCCTGCAAAGGCAACTGGCTGTTAATCGCATTATATGTGTCTGGGAGCAAACTACACCTCTCTCTCTCTCTTTTTCTCTCTCTCTCACTTCCTTTTCTCTTCCCCTCCCACACTTGCTTCAATAAATCCTCAGCAATTAGCACACAACAAGCAGTGCATCTAATTTGCAGCCCAAGTTAATTATGGTTCAAACTCTGCCGGCAGTTAGATTTGTACTGCATCAAAACAAGAGCCTCGTTTAATACTAAATAATGGATCTTATTCTGGTCTTTGAATATCCAAACAGCGTGAGATCTCTGGCTTGCACTAAAGACTAACAATTGCATTTTAGCTAACGCGCCTCAAGCAAACACAAGCTTTATACAAAAATCATTAATTCCTTCAACAAACATAGTGTAGACAGACTTTTTTCTCCAGCTAAATAAACCCAACTGGTTAAACAAATTACTTAATTTTGACACACTTGCGCCTACATAGATGTTCAGTTTATTTCGCAGCCGTGATTTTCTCTCCTGTACATTATTTTGTAGACAGTAATGAGCATAGATATCAACATTAAGCTCAATTTAATTTGAGTTTCCAGTTCTGAGTTTGAGGTCAATTTGAAGTCCACTGAGTCAATCTGAGAAGACAGTGAGTGTTGAGGGCATGTGGAGCTCTTCATTCAGCTTCCTGCCCTGTTTGCGCTTTCCTCCTCACTCCTCTTTATTAGAGTATGAAATGCTTTTTGGGACCATGCAAGCCCCGGCAGTAACTAGATTGGAAAGCGAATCTTTACCCATCTCTATGATTCATTCTGTGTAATAACATTTCATCAAAGGTTTTTTGAGAGCCCCTCTCTATTTGTTATGCCTTCGATAAGCGTATGATAAAGATTAAACTTATTACTCTGTTGGCATAAACAGGCAGCAGCCAAAGGATCAAATGAAATTATGGTGATTGATTGTATTGTTCTGCCAGTGGGATGGGGGATAATTGCCTCCTGGGTAACAGGGGATGTGAATTCTCAATGTTCTGTAATTCCATCCTCTGGCGCCACTGGGGACGCTGAAGATTAAAGGTACCCTGTGGAGTTGTCATTGTAAACAAACACTGTTTTGTTCAGATTCAGTGTTTCTCACCAAAATGCATTGTGTGTGACCGTAAGACTTAGCAAACTTGTTGAAAACACTTGCATAGCCTTATTTTGTATTCTTTGAAACCTGTATTGTTTAATTACATCAGATAGTAGTCTTTTTTAATCTTCTTTTCTTTTATTGCATCCTACAGCTATTTACTGCCACCAGCTGTTGATATGCATTAATGCCCTCTGCAGAGTTTTTGCAGAAATGTATCAAGTGAAAGCTAGGGTTGCCCTCTTCAGTGTGGAAAAATAAGGGACTACTTGCCTGGGGTTCAGATCATTTATTTTCTGCATTCTGGTGAATATTTATGCACCAAATTGTGCATTTTATGCATCTATTTCAAAGTCCTCTACTACTTCCAACATGAATATAATTGATATAAACAGTCAATAAGAGTAATTAAGGATTAAAACATCAGATCATAAACATGGGCATAATGTTTGGTCTGTAAAAATAAATCCACTCTGCATCCTCTGCTCTCAAGCTGCCCGGCAGTTGCTGAATGTTGCTTCAGGCCAAAAAGTCCACCATAGGGGGCAAAAAATAATCTATGATCTATGAGTACTGATCCACTCGTCTGCCATTCAGATCTGTATTTAGACAGCCACTTCATTTTTAAGGTCAGACTTAAGCTAGAGGTATTCGCCGACATTGACGATGACGCTGAGTGGAGTGACAGTGACCATGCCTGTCATTCTAGGGGCCATTTTCTTCCGCAAATTCTGATGTAATACTTTTCTGCATGCGAGTTATTGTATGCATTAGAGTAGGGTGTGCTTGAAAATTCAGTAAGGAATAATGCATTTTATTTTTCAATACAGGACAATGCCATGTTAAACGGGATGTGTGGCAAACCTAATGAAAGCGTAGGTGAATTGGTCACAATTAGCTGCTAAAGCTTCAACTGAATTTTTTCCCTAGCTGGTATTTTTTTTGCTGCAAAATATCAGTTTAATATATGGAAACAGGATAGGAGCCTTATTATAGTTCCATTATGCACAGGACAGGAATACACACAATTGTGTATTATTATTTAATTAACCCCTCCCAGCATGCATGGTTACCATGGTAGCAAACAATGCACTGCCATCAGGTCTGCGGCATGACATTCTCCTAGCGGTTCTATCGGCTTACAAGAAGTCTCCTGGCATTCGTGCCCTCACCCTCCACCTTGTGCTCTGTCACAACAGAGAGAAACATGGAGCATAGGAAATCAGGCTAACGGCCAACTCCCAGCCATGCCGTTGGCAAAGACTGCAGTCTGATTGGAGCAGCACCAGAAGGAGGATGAGGCTTTAATGCCGCCGTAAAGCAGTGTGAGAAACAGCTAGGGAGGCTGCCGAAAGACCCCAGATAAATCGCCATCCTTTCAAAAATAGATAAGGTCAAACGCTGTCAACCGTTGGCTGACCTCGTGCGATGGTTGCTAAATGTGCCTGTACATGAGGTTGTGCACCACCATTAAAACATCCTCCAGTGGCTGAAGTGTCTGCTGTTTTATTGTCTCAATGTGGCGCTCAATTAATCAACTGAAGCCACTAATTGGTTAGATCATCTGATGCAGGCTGTGATTCAATCTGAGGAGTGAAAGAACAGACAGATACCCCGTTTGTAATGTAACTGGGGTTCTGTGGAGTTCATACAGATCATTGACTGATATTTCTAATTAACACTGACCTCATGATTATGTCATATTTATGTCTCACCTGACACAGGATGTGATAAACAACCGCAATATCTTTTTTGATATATAAACAATAATGGCCAAAGGGAGATCAATCACCCCTTTCATATATTTTTGAAAGCTCTCTCTTCTTTGTCAAATAGCAGGACAACCAGCAGGAAAGAGATGACAAAGAGATGACATGCAGCCCAGATTCAAACCGATGACAGTGCAAAGACATTGCGTGCACCAAGCCAACCCGGTGAGCCGTAACATGTTATTTTTTCATAGAGTCACAGATGTTGAGATAAAACGAGGATGAGCTGAGTGACACGCACCTGCCACCAGGGGCTGTGCAGGTCGGCAAACATCAGTTCAATGACATCCCCCGCATGAATGCTTAGTGGGGGCCCACAGAGGGGACAGGGGATGCCACTGTAGTCTTTGATCACAACCATCCTGGGTAAACCTAGCAGAGAGGGAATACAAATACATTTACGCTCAAATTGTTAGACATTTATCAGAAAGCCTCACACAGAGGGACGTACAGCAGTGCAACAGCAGCCTGATCGATTCATCATTACTGCATGGTAATAGATTAAAAATACTGTGACCGTGTGTAACAGAGAGACTTTTTGAACATGGCAGTACGAAGAGCGAACTACTGATGAAATCTAGGAAAAAATAAAAAGCATTTGAATCATCCGGTGCTATGTTGCTTAGATTATGACTAAAATGGAAACTCTGTATATTTTCTGCTAGATGTGTAGAGTTACACTGCATGTTAAAACATTTGATCAGTCAAAATTGAATATTTACCTAGGTGAAGCCTAGGTGGGGGTATAAGGAGAGCTAAATTAGTGATTCTAATGCTTTTAAATCTACACAGGCCTCTTATTCTCATTGCTTTTCTTCGTGTTAAAAGCAGTGTTTAACTGTGTGTTCCCCCTTTCACCACTTCCAGCATCATTGATGTGTGTGATTGGGTGTGGACAGAAGTTTGCTCTGTTTCACCTGTAACCACAGCCAACAGCAGTGCACTGACACACCCTAGAGTACACTAGGAAAACCAAGATTTTTGGCTGCTGTTAATTTGCCCTTTAAATTAATTTAAAGCACAACTAACAAATTTCTCCCTCACAACTCCATTGTATTGGGTTGACTACAACAGAAACATCAGAAATCTTAAGAGATAGATATGCCAAAACATGGCCAGATAAAACTAAATCTAGATATCACTAAAAGTAGGTAAGAATCTTTTTCGATAATTATTTATATTGTTTGCACTAATCATGTGTACACAGCAAATTCCCTTACTGTCATTGTCCTAAAGGTTTCTGCACAGTTGATCTCTAACGTGTAAATGTGGACACCTTGACAGCCTTTTTTATTGAGGTCTAAACCACCAGAATGGCACCATCCTGGAAAGCAGCAATTTACTCTCGCAGGAAATTCATCTCTTCGATTCCTAAACAGTACAGCTCCAATCTTTCCTCGGCGTGCCAGACAAATACAGCCACAAGCATCCGGCTAAGGCTAAGACTAAACACCCCTGCCAACTTAAAAGACACAGCCACTTACTCTCCCAAGACTCACACATCTAGCCCCCTCAGACACATCTCCCTTCCAGCAATGGCTCCCCTGCAAACCAGCCCGAGGAAACTATTAGCTGACGGTGACCTCAAATGAATGGAATATCTCACATTCATGTTTTTAATAAGAACAATAAGCGCAGATGTCTTTCTCATAAAGCCCCTTATGGAAATTGATCTATCACAAAGGCACAGCTCAGCGGTTGAGGCTGAGGCATATAGACTGCTGGAAGTGCTTTTCTGCCAGCATTTCTCCTGCCGCCATCCTCATAATGATTCCACCCACTCCAATTCATCTCAATGCCGAGTTGGGTTTAGGCATCACGGCATGCGGTGAGAAAAGGGCTGTTTTGTGCTTTGGTTAAGGATTCCTTCTGCATCCTATTATTTATTGGTTATTCTTAGTCAAATATATTTGTCAAGAGGAAACTGTTGTTGTTCATTTCCTCCTTTGAACCCTTTGTGTGAGCAGGAGAGATTCATGTCAGCGCATTTCTAAGAAAACATTTTCAGGGTTTCCTAAGTGGAAAAAAAGAAAAAGTTACTATTTGATCAAAAATCAGAGAAGGGGTATGATAACATCTGAGGGTTAGCTTTCAACCACCATCTATCTGCTCCAGGTCTCACTCTGGCCTCTGACTAACCGCGTCCTTTTCATCCTGTCTGTGTTTCTGTTTTGTTACAGAACCGAGATGAAAGCGGCTTAAGAGGAACCACGTAAGCCCTTAGCAGGTTCACAAAAGTGGAAAAGTGGTCAAGGCATACTGACCTGGATTTGGTGGTGTTGTGGTCTCCTGTGGATGGAGACAGAAAGAAAGCAAGACGGAGAAAAAGTAAGAAAATTAGGAAAAAAGAAAGAATTACGGAGAGGAAGAGATTGATAAATGGAGAGGCCATTCTTACTCCATGTGCAGGATCAGCTTGACCTGAAGAATGACTCATACTCTAATAAAATCATTTGTGGGTTTTATACTCTTAAGATGTGGGGTCTCACTACTTTAAGCGGGACAGATATCAAAAGTAAAAGTACAGAGGTTCTGTACTTTGTCTTTTTGGGAAAATATATATAATATATAACAAAAAATACTGGACCTTTTATCCTTATTTTGTCCACAATTCACTTGGGTATAATAGTGCTAAGTTTTTAGAAATTGTACACACAGGAATGTCTGAGAAGCTCATTTGAATTTCTTGCATTTGTTTTCATTAGTAATGTTGTCCTTCCAGGATTTCAAAAGTAAAATCCCTGATTTTTTCCTACACAGGTGACAGGTGAAGTATATGGAGCTTTAAGTATGCCACAAGAATAACAATATATACATCTATATATAGTTGTATAGTATATATAAGTCTTTAAATAAGTCTTTAAATGTAGTTTAGTTAATCATAATTTATGTTCCATGATTGATTTAATAACACTGCCTGTGGTCCTATGATGAGGAAAAATTAGGACAATATTCAAAAAGAAACTTTCAAACATGAATATACGCTGGTTAAAACAATACCAACAGCTTCCTCCGCTTTGCAAACCTACAAGACCAAGCTGTTCACCAGCATTACCAATAGTTTTTTGTGGGTAGCAAAATCCTTTTGTCTATAGTTGAGTAAGTGCCTGTGTGCTCTTTGATATCTGCTATGTTAGGCTACACTAATTATGTTAGCTTTGGTGTCTAAGTCAAAGACGGGAAACAGTCCAGGTCTTACCTTGGACTTTGGCTTGGCAGAATCTGCAGTCAGGAGAGAGACAGACACAGTGAGAGGAATACAATATCAGTGCATGGTGGCTTCCTGACATACAACCTCAACTGTCAACCTCTGCTGGCCTTCATCACGCCTCAGAATGCATAAAGACCACAGTGCTTCTGCTAAGAAGGCTTGTCAAAGGCCTGAGCTGCCTTTAGCTGTCTGTGCATTCAGGGTGGGTAATGTACCTGAACTACAGCCCCAGACCGGTGACAAAAAGCCAAAGCTTGACATAGGAGTACAATGCAACAACTGCTAAATATCTATAGGGTAAAGTTTGGCTTTCATTTAAACAACTTCTGAAAGTGTACATACATGCATTATGTTTTGTTGTGTTTCTGATACAGAATTTAGATTTTCCTTTAGGCAGAAATAAAGTTATGTACAAGCAGACATTTGAGCAAAGTAAGGGAAAGTCAAAAGGTTACCACATAGCATAAATATTTCCAACAGAAGTATACCAGCTGTTAGATATCTTATGTGCAAGGTTGGCAATCTAGCATCACTGTGTGGTGCTAGAGGAAAGCTCATGGAGTGCCCAAAATGCAAAGCGGTTTTTCTCTAGGGAGTATGAATGTGCTCAGTAAATTTCAAGGCAATCATGACTTTCAGATTTTGATATTTTGTGTGTATATGTGGAAATTGTGGCCTGGTGGTGGCGCTAGAGAAAAGGTCACCAACAATTTGGATATATGCTCTGAGGGAGATAAATATGTACAGCAAATATCATGGAAATTATGCCGTTGGTTTTCAAGATAGCTCGTTACAAAGTGTTCAGAAAGCAAATCAGTTTGACAGTTTGGGAGGCTTCCATCTCACCTGTTCTTCCGCAGACTCCCAGTCGACCCAGACACTCCTTATGAGCCCCCAGCCCACATTTTAGACAGCGATATCCCTGGTTAAAGATGCCCCTGGACACAAAAAAACCACAGGATATATTTCGTGTATAACAGCCTCCTTAAGAGAAACACCTTGACATTTTGGATTTTCAGGCTTCTGTCACAGTCTCAAGATAAGACAAATGACACATGAAATGTCCTTCAGCTTTCCATAACCATAAAACTGATAATGTCTGCTGAAAACTGAGCCAACTAACAGTTTGTAGTCTCTATTTATTTCAATTAAACCCAGTGCTAATAAGGCATTTCCAGTTAAGTAAGAGGCTAAATGCAAAAAAACTTAATTTTCCCTAAAATGCCTACAAAACTGACTGAAGACTGTAATGTGAAATGTCATGGTGTTCCTTTCATACCATCAATATGAAAAAGATTGTGTATTTTCATAAGAACAAAAAAATACTACTAGTACAATAACACATGATGATTTGCCATCCTAGAACAATGTGTGACGTTCACCCTGTGTCAGACGTGCAATTGAAGCCCATGTAGAAAGATTTTTCTCTACTGGGACTTCATGAACAGAGTCTGTTCATAATGCCTGAATAATACCTGAGCAATAGGTGACAGAAACTACAGGACGCTATCCTTTCAAAGGTGTGCATCTTGAACTGGTGGGAGTTGTGGTTGGCTTTCTCTGGTCGGATATTTGATCTGAGGAAATAAGAATAATAAATGGTTAAATGGAAACATGAGTCAGCAGCCACACTGGCGCCTCTGTGACACTAGCATGCTGATGTTAAATCGTGTTTACCATGTTTACAATCTTAGCAATCAACAGTTGCTAATTAGCACTAAACACAAAGAGGAGCAGAGGTTACTCAGAATGTAATTAGTTTAAGTACTGAACAATATGAAAAATTCTAGATGAAATCAGGCGATCACCAAAGTTAATACAAGTAACCCAGAGTTGTTGTGACATTTCACCCAAAACTACAAACATTAACCTCATGGTGCCGCCAGAAGAAGTGTCAGAAGATCAGTACAGTCAATAGGATTCATCCTTTGGAGACCGTGAATGTCTGTACTGAATTTCATGGTAACTCATCTAATATTTGTTGAGATAATTAAGTCTAAACATCTAAAGTGGTGTAACGAAGGGTTGACAGACCAACACTGCCATAGAGCCATGCTTACTAGCACATGGTATTTGGGTTTGTGTGTTACTGAGTAGGGGGAGCGATTTTCCTTCAATTTACTCAATATACAAAACATTCTTAATCATTTCTTTATAAACCGAATAAAACAAGTTTGTAAAAAATAATCTGAAATTCACTCAATCAACTGACTGAAATAAAAGCAATTGCCCCAGTGCGTGTGTATGTGAAAACTGACTGTGAGGACTAGAATCAGCCCAGACAAATCCAATTTTGAGCTGCATGTGTTCAAACATGAGAGGGGAAACATGCGTAGCAGAAATAAGCAGCCCTTCTGGAACGTGAACAAACACCACCAACACAAAAACGACTTTTTGTATTGAACACACCATCCAGAAGCCACTTAAACTGAGTGCTCCCATAAGTGAGTCCTTCATCAGGAGCCCACATCCTCTTTACAGGTACAATTTTCACTTTCTGAATGGGCCCCTTCTGGTGTCATTACCCAATGCACAGAGGCACACATAGCTGTTTTCAGACACAAACACCGCACCTGTGGAAAAAACTGTTTCAATACGGGGGGGATGTGAAAAATGCTTATTTCTTATCTAAGTTCGGGGAATTACACATGAGGTTTTGAGCATGTGTCAAGGGCCCAGTGGTCATATGTATGTTTATGAACTCATACATACTGTACACGACTACTTTAAGTTAGAGAAAGAGAAGCACTTGCACATTGTTTAATGTACATCCCCACACACTTAATTGTTTACAGTGCATAAATTTATACAAGTATAATCCAGCACACTATGAGATGTGAAAATGTATTCAGGAAGGCCAAAGCAGGTAGTCAGCATGCATATCAGGGATGTTTTCATACATATCCACCCCAAACACTAAAGCATTTGTTCAGTCAATCAGAGTGTAATGTCAAAACAACACTGTATTCTCCCGAATCAACATAACAAAGGAAGCAGACAGGATATCTGCCTGAGAAAAACCTCCCACTGTTACAAAATAATACAAAAGATATATCTCCATAAAGCACTGATTTGAAGAAACACAGAGGCATGCTGACTTCTTTGTAGTTTTGCAGCTTTTTGGAACAGTTTTTGTTGTATGTTTTTGTGCGTGTGTAGGTGTGTGTGTGTGTGCGCGTGTGTGTGCCTGTGTTATCGTACTGTTGTCAGCAGTGTGTGCTTGATTACAGCAAAGGCCTGATCAAACAGTGCGCATAAAAGAGTCAACACCTCTCTCGGCCTTGGAATAACATGGATGCAAACAAAGGCAAATAAACACCACACACACACGCACATACAAGTACACAATTTGTTTTTCCTATGATACACACACTGGTCATGTTGCTGTGTACTTACATGGCCATTTCAAACTGATCCAGCCACTTCTTCTTCAGCTCTCTGGTCTTGAAAAAGAGTTCAAAGCCTGTGTGCCCCTGCTGGTGAGTCACGTAGAACCCGTAACACCACTGCGAAGGTCAGGAAGAATCAATCAGAGGCAGTCAATCTGAATGTATTTTCTCATGAATGCATTATGAAGATTTACATATCTGCAGGGAAACTACATGGCTAAATGTGTATTGTAATGATTATCACACAGGGTTCCTGCAGGAGCCAGATGAGAGGAGCGTTGCCATTCTCATATCAGTGCATTAAATATGAAGCTACAGCCAGCTTAGCTTAGTTTAGCTTAGAAAAAAGACTGGAAACAGTTAGCCTGGCTCTGGCAAAAGGCAACTGCATCTGCCTTCTATCTCAAACACTGCAAGATACTACAAGATACAAGCACCACAATCCAACAAAGAATGAGTCCCGGGAAAAACAATAAATTGTTGTAGTCACAAAACAATCTGCATGGAGTGCTGCTTGGGTGTGAAGAAATGTGTCCCTCTGGTGCTCTTCAGTTTGGGGATCCTACTAGTTTAGAATTGTTGAAGAAATCTGAGGCACTCAAGATGGTAGTGATTTAAAGACTCTTACAAAGAGAATCGTTTTGAATATATACATTGAAAGCTACACAATATCCTGGTTTGTTGGGGAACTTGACTTCTCTCTTTTTCTTGTTTTTTAGGCATCTGAGTCCTTTGAAGAAATCATGTACCTTCTTGCGTGGATGTAAAGAAAAGTGAATTATTAAGAGATTTTAAGATGTTTTGCATATAGTTCTCTATTTGTCTGTTGCTGTTGTGTGGGATTTTCGATGTATGGTTATTGATGTATGATTATGGATGTATGGAACCTGGTCCGTCATGTGACTTTACCTGTCTACACTGAGATTAAAGGCTTTTTAAATCACTACCCTCTTGGGTGCCTCAGATTTCTTCAACAGGTCTAAAATACATTGTTATATTTTGTTTATTCTGCCATGGCGAGAGACAAAAAAAATAAACTGCCACAAACCTTTTCAGAATTTTGGGGGGGTGTTTGTTTGCTTTTAAAATTCCCTTGTTGTTTTTATCTCCCCTAAATTCTACCCCGTTTCTTGATTGCTATCCACCATATTGTCGAACATCTATTGTGTCCTATCAGACCAAGACACTTCGCTTTTTTCTGTTCCTACAAGGACAACATAGGCAAAAATGACTTCATCTCTGTGTGACGTGTACAACCATCAATCTTCATTGGCCTTAGTTCATTTGTCTTTGTGCCACAAGGCTCACAGACCAACAGTGTGTTGGTTGCTGTGTGTTGTGAACATCCGAGCAGCAGCAGAGGGAGTTTAACCAGAGTTCTGCCCAAAGAGGACTTTGGCTGTGATCACAGCGAGGCAGAGTCTGCTAATCTGTCTCGGAGGAACCAAAGACAGATCTGTCTTTTTCCGTATGCATCCTAAATTTGGAAACACCATCAAAAGTTCTAAGCCACAAGTGCCAAAGGCCTCAATTATGGTGCTCAATCAATCTTAGAAAATTCTGGCCATAATATTTGACTACTGCTTGTTTGTTTTCCCTCACAGTTGGTCGCCATATATCTACCACTGCAGCACTCACAGGTTAAATTCTTTGCCTGTGTGCATATTTGGTACCAATGGTTGGTTCTAATCAATTCCCAAGCCTCTCAGCTTTTGCCACCCTAATCTGCTCCAGCTTGTATTGTCATATCTAATAACAGGAAAAGTGGTGGGGTTTACCCGTCAGTGATTGGCCGGCCCTGAGTGTTTTAGAGCTCTGCTGAGCGTTAAATCATTGATGACTGTGTAGGTGCTCGGTGGCACCGCATTCACACTTTGAAGTTTCATTTAGCAGAAAATGATATATAGCTATAAGCAGCCTTGGAGGACTGCACGCATTCATCATCTGATATTAGCATCTCTGTCCTGCGGTGTGTGTTTGCGGGTGTGTGTTGAGGTGGATGTAGGTACACATTATCTGTCTGTGTATATTTGTCCTTTTTAAGTGTTTCTGTGTGCAAGTGTCTGCGTCTTTTTGTGCAGCAGAATGTTGGAAGGTAGACGGCATATTAAAAAAAATGGTTAAAGAGGAATAACGTATCTGCTTATGTCATTACGTTTGGTACAAAAATCTTAATTTAGAAATAATGTTAGAAACAATGCCGAGTAATGTCAAACACACACATAATCCCCAAAAAACACATCAAGACCACACACACACACACACACACACACATACATTATGATTGCACAATCCAGTAAACAATGATAATAGAGTCCCTTTGATAGAAACCACAGAACCATTTCATTCTGGCTAGCTGTCAGTTCCACATTAGCAATCAGCACCGGGGTGAGAAGACACCATCTGTGGGCATACATCAACAAGACATCAACAAGTTCCCTCCAATACAGCCTGCAAACGCTCCCACAAGGCGAAAAATAGCGTATAAACTATGCAGAATGACGAAAGGGAGCCTTCCTTCCAGGTTTCTGAATCAGAACTTTTCAGAGAGGTGAAAACACAACTGACCCTACACAGGAAGGTGGAAGATATCATTCTGGATTATTCTTATTAGGCGTCCCGACATTTATTTTAGTAATAAAATCTGTAGCCAAACAGACGTTGAATGGCAAAATTTCCATACAGTGGTAGTGTAGTGTAGTTTATTGTTATGAACCGTAAACTAATCACAGTGTGAGGTAGACACAGATAGTGAGCCAATATTCAATGCAATGCAAAGTGCACAAATACCAGTATACAAGTGCAGCATCTGTTTATTTATATGCATAGAAGTCTATCGTGTCTTTCCTGCCAACTGACCTTTTTACCCTCTCTGTCAGAGGTGGGGTTGTTTGTGATCTTGAAGTAGTTGAGGTCCAGTATATCCTTCATCTCATAGTTGTCTCCTCTTCTCTTGCAAACAATGACGGCCACATCAAATAAAAAGATGTGTCTGTGAAATAAGCAGGCAGAATATTACATTGTCATATTATATTAAACTATTGTATATATATGACAAAATCCAAAGTAAATAATGTCTTATTTAGCTCTGAAATCAAGTGAATCTTCTTTAATTAATTTTTTTTTTTAAATCTGTGAAAACAGATGACATTTTTATAGGTCACTTTTTTTTGGAGATGGAACAGATGGAGAAAAAAAAATCCCTCGCCTTTCAGGGCTTTCATAAGAATCTGTACGTCTGAGCAAGTACTTATTTGCTCTATATGAGAATATATAGTAGTGATTTATACAGCCTTTTAGCTGTATTCCCATACAGTTTTTATTGCATGTTTAACAGAAAGGATAATCTTTGCCAACTTGTATTCAGGCAGGTATGTAAGATAATAAGTAATAAGAGTCCAAGTAACAAAAATTTGCTTTGTCGACCCTTATGTTGAATATACTGAATAGTTACAGATCATCAGACGTCAGACATTTTATGTGTGTTTTTTTCTGTTTGTAATACTAATTTTTTTCTCAGGACAATGAAGTAGAACAACCTGTCTTGTTTCCTCTTGTCAACACTGACCATGCGCACCTCTCCATCACCTTTTGGTCGACCGTAGCTGATTAGAGGCTCATTCTGAAAGTAGAACAAGAGGGGGGTTAAAATGTAGATGGATTATGTATGAAATAAATGCATTAATTAGTAACACATTCACCGACGGGTCGACCCTTAAATATAACCCAAAGAAAAAACACCTATTTCAGGAGAGGGATCCAACAGACCCCTATAACACAATACTGGATTTCTTCCATCCCCCAGACTGATGACTCGTAAGGTATTCCCAGTTCAACATTATGTAAGTTCTGGCCAGTTGTTATCAACAATGACATTCACTCAAGTCACCAATTTTGTTCAATCAAGGAGAAGGTCTTTATAACCTGACAAGCTCTAATGCGCTCTCACTCATAATGCCTCCACTGCTGGTTACGCTTTTTTCCAACCTGCGACTGGTTCTGTCAAATGATTTCTTCCTTCACCACCTTATCTCATCCTGTTCTGCTTTCTTATTACCACATTTGGTGATGGCTTCTCTTGCCTTATGTATGATCTGTATTACATATAGTCTACCTTATATATAATATGTTTGAGGTATGCCCTGTATGGCCTTGGGATGATGGGGTTTACTGTACTCCACGGGTGTCTCTCAGATATATAAAACTGTTTAATTTGATATTTTAATTACAGTAATAATTTCTTATTGAGATGCTGTCGCTATGAACAATATCTTTGACTGGTATAGGGCTACAACTGATTATTTTTATCAATAATTAATCTGCTGATTATTTTCTCAGTTAGTAGTTTTCCATAAGATGTCAGAAAATAATGAAAAGTGCCCATTATAATTTCCTAGGGCATAAGGTGACGAATGCAAATGTTTTTATTTTCAACCATCAACAATCAACAGTCTAAAACCTATGGAGATTTACTTTAAGATCTTATATAATAATATTTAACAAAAGAACAGCTACCATTTTCACATCTGAGAAGTTGGAACAAGGTAATTTTTCCTTAAAAAAATGAATGAAAAGTTGTTTTTCTGTCAATTAATTAATTGATTGATTAATTAACTAATCATTTAAGCTCCAAACCTGTATGACATGTTATAAGCGTCTTTTGGACATTATCTTTATTATCCTTAGGAATAGAATTCTGAAAAAAGGGAAAAATCCAAATATTAAAGCTATAGAAAAATCACAGGAATGCACAAGAGTAAGATCAGTATATATAAGTATATTAACCTTCCATAATTTACCTGCATTAACTCTGTAATTCAGTAAAGACTGTAAAGATCAGGTGTCTCATACATTGAATGCAGGTGTCTAAGTTTTATCTGTTATCTGTTACTGGCTGAATTCTTTAGGCTATTCCAAATATTAAGGAAACTTGACTTGAAAGCTGACCATTGACAAAAAGGAAACTAAATGGCTTGCTGATATTTTACACTGTTATCCAGTGTACACTAATAGCTTCTGATAGTTGTAGGAAAAGATTCTTGGTTTACCAGGTTTTCAATAGACCTCTGGTACTGGTCGATCTCCCTCAGAGTCTCATTATCTCTCTTCACCTCGTTGACATACTGAGCCAGGTCCTGGACAAAACAGACACACACAGATGCACAAACACACAGATATTTTGTTGGATTATTTCAGTCTAGAGGTAGTGAAATATGTCAAAAGAATGATGATATTCTGTACTGTAGATTTAAAGGAATACTTTGTAAATTTGGGGAAATACACTTATTCAAAATGCACTTATTTGCTTTCATTCTGAGTGTTAGGTGGGAGGATCAATACCACTCTTGTATCTGACTGTTCAATATGAACAAGCTACAGCCAGGAGATAGGCCATCTATGCTTAAGCTTAGCATCAAGACCAGACACAACTTGTTAAAACCAAGGACCAGAAACAACAAATTGCAGTTTTACAGGTGATAGTCGAGCGCATAACCTTCCATAAAACTGTAAGTTGTCTTTTTTACATTTATTTTTTGTTAGATCATTAAAAAACAAGATATGATCTGTCCATTAAGGAGCTTTAGAGGTGCGGGTAGGAAACAGTGTCCTTGTTTTTTATGCAGGAAACTATGCTGTTAATCTAATCGGCTGCTGGCTGTAGCTTCATATTTAACATACAGATATGACAGTATCAATGTTCTCACCTCACTCTCGGCAAGAAAACAAATAAACACACTTCATAAAACACAAACCTATTTCTTTAATTTTATACACATATGTTTATGTTTTAGAGTGTTTTTTGTGCTTCTCTGAGCTGAGCACACTGTGTGAATACTTTAAGTATGAATCAAGCCTTCAAGCTGTCTAACATTATGCATTTCCTCCCCTGGCTCCCTTCAGGGCTGGAAAAGCAAATACGGCAGTCAGCATTCGCTAATGTGATATAAATGTAAAGTTTTATCAATTCACACCAATTCAGAACTATTTATCTAATAAAAGCTGATAGTTGAGTGGCAGAGACTGTTTGGAATTATCCACTAAATATTCTGCTATTGGTGACAAGCTGAAATCACAATGATTACAGACCATTTACCATAAAACTACACTTACTTTCATGGCATCAAGTGCGATCTTCAGGTTGCTCTTGTCAGCAGCATCGTGAGTGTGTTTCACTAGCTCCTGTTAGAGGAAGACGGAACAGAAATGATGCACTATCTTCACAGGATAAAACTCACTCTCAAGTACACATTTAGCACAAATTGTTGGATTATTGATTTCATAATTGAAGCGCCACCATGTAGTTGTAGTTGTAATGTAAGAAAAAAAAAGACAATTTTCAAATTAATCTTATTTATATATATTTCAGTTAATACCATAAAAATGAATACACTAAAAGTAAAGCATAGGTACGAATATGCAATATAAAGCTGTACAGCAAAAATCTGTGATGGAACAATGTGCATTTACTCAATGGCTATATTTCAGTATACTTTTGAAGTAATTGTACTTTACAGCCTTTCCCTTTTATGCTACTTCTACATTTCACTACATTTGATAGCTAAACATATGATCAGTGAGTAAAAAGATCTCTTCCACTACTGAATGCCTCCACGCAGTTTTTATAACAAAAAAGAACTTTTTATACTCAGAAAATAATCGGGGAGCAGCTACTTTTCTTAAATTAATCTCATTTGAGGGCAGAAAGTGGTCTTTAGGCAAAGACTGAAGTATAATCCTTCATTTTTAATAAACTGAAAAAACATGAATAGGATGTATCTTTTTTTATATTTATACAAATGCTATCAAATGGTATTGCCAGAAATAGGAAGAAAAGGGATGTTCTGGCATCATCCCGCCAACACCTACACATGTTTATTTGATTACTCAACACATGGAAGTTATTGTTGGGGAGTGTAATCAGCACAGAGGCAGCATGAAATCTGCTCCTTTTGTGCCTTTTGGTTTCATTGCCATCAAAACACCAGTCAAACAGCACAGGACATAAGCGAATAACCTTATACTAGTCCAAACTGAGTCATTTCCACAGCACATATAATTACACATCATAATGTGAATCTTCAGCAGTTACTGGATACACCAGTATCAGGATAGTATTGCAGCATCGTGGTTATTTATTTATTTATGCTTAATTCTATACAGTTAATGACATGCTGTCAATAGTGTATTTGCTGTGAAACATGTGCTGTGTATAGTAGCAAAATTAAATCATGAAGACTTAATCATAATTACAGCAATATGTACATTATGTGTATCTGATATAAAAGGTCTGTAAAAACACTTTAGGCATGTTTACACTTCATTATCTTGCATATATCATTAGAAAATGAAGAGATTAACTATTCCCTTGTTACCTTCTTCTCAAAGTCGGATTACCGCCGTTTACCATGGAGGCCCTCCACAACAATTTAAAACAGCTTTCTTTTCATAGTCCTCATCTGCCTTGCCAGCTCTTGCCTGACCTCTGATTCATACTAACCAGGGGAGACTGCGTCACACAGTTATCAGTAGGCAGTGGAATTGGGGGGATTTTGAAAGGCTGCATGTCTGGTTTCTACTGAGGTAAAAGTACAACTACACTGCAAGACAAGTTTGCAATCATGTATAAAATCAATTAGTGAGGTAATGATAATTTCACTTGTAAATCTATTTTGCAATCAGGTCACAGACACACCAGGAATAATTATTTTAATAATATTGTTTTTCACGTAGAAATCCTTGTTTGAGACAATTCTGTAAACTGTATTGACACAGGCTGAAATTATGTCACTTCATTCATTCACTGTTTTTTTGAGAGATGTGAGATATGAAGACTAAATACAAAGACCTAAATGACTTGTCAAAATGTATGGGTTTTTTTGTAGTGTAAAGATGCTGTGAAGGGAGGCAAACATGTAGTAGAAATGTGGAGAATGTTGCCCTCAAGTGGTCACTTTTATATTGACAAAAAAACATAATACAAGTTGAATAAACTGAAATAAACGTTTAGAAAAAAGTAATTAAATAAAATAAGCATGTATGTGCTATCCTTTGAGCAGTGGTTCTCAACCTGGGGTCCGGGGTCCCCCAGTGGTCCATAAGGGGGTTCCAGGGGTCCCCAGAAAAATGGAGAATATTTTAATTTCACTATTTTTTCATTGGCTAGAAGTTAAACCAATGACATAAATGTATAAGAATAACTATTATGTTCTTAGTTTTCACACTCTTTACTGTCAATCTGCCAATCTACAGTATAGACGGTTATAGGAATAACTAAATCTTATCAGAAAAGGTTCCCTGAGACTAAATGTTATCAAATACAGGTTTGCAGCCTGATGTGTATCAATTGGGGGTCCCTGAAACAAAAGCAAGGCAGTAAGCCCTGAATGCTCCAGTGGAGCTGCTATTAAAATTGTATATATGTATATTATTATTGTATATATTACTTTAATGTATAAAGTAATTTTAGGAAAACATAAAGGGAAAAAATAACTCTGATTCAGCAAATTCATTCAAAAATCAAACATAAAATAAGGGGTGTCAAAACAAGTGTCAAGTAACAAAACCTTTATCTAGTCAGGGAGGGCTGATCTCTGAAATAAATATATTTTCTTTTAAAAATTGAGCAGACTTTTCAGTTTTTCCATGACATGTGGGTTGACACTCTTGCTTTAAATTAGCAGAGTCAAACTTTACCTGAAGAAGTAGGTGGTACTTAAGGACTCTCTGCATCGGGACAACCAGCAGGTCCCTCAGAGTAAACTTCCCATTATTGGCTCTCTTTGAGCACTCCTGGAATAAATAACACACATATTTATAACAGCATGAACTAATATGCATACTCACACAGTTGATATTCTTTAGTGTTATTGAGGCTTTTTCACAAGGATGGCTCAACCAAGACGCAAAACAATGTGTTTGCCGTAGCTTATATGTATCTTTTCTCATTTGTTTTAGGGCTCAGACTTAAAGCAAATTGTCAGGTGAAATTGAGTATGGCATATTTTTGTATCCTATTCTGTTCTAAAGCGCTTGCACCAAGCTTACAGGTTATAAAGAGATGATGGCGGATATAACAACGATTTTAAACCTATATCATTTATTATCTTACCTTTACTTTTATTTAAAATCTATCACATAATGAGCTATTTTAATCTATTATATATAAGAATAGTAAGGTTTTTAAGTATTTTAAAGCTGGAGAGAACAAGACACATTGCTGATACTAATCACATCACATCACTGTCACTTTTGAATATATAATTTAGTCTTTAATTGCCCTTTTATAATTGCTATTCTTCTATTCTTCTTTTAGTTTTATATACCTCTTATAATTCATTTTTACTCTCTATATTTATCTGTACTAATTTCCTTGTGCTGCTGCAACTGCCAATTTTCCCATCCCATATATATATATATATCCCTTTGTATTTGTAGTAGACAAACTAAACACTAGGGGCCGCTAGAAAACTGGATCTGTTTACATGGGTTTGTGTGTGTATCTTTGTTATTGAGGGGCCAGTTTCTTCAGGTGTCTCACCTCCAGCTTTAGACGAACATCCTCTTTCTCTTTGCAAATGAGGTCTAAAACAGCGATGGCGATCTCCACCCGACTGCAGTAAATCCCATAAATGAGCAGTCTACAATTCAGAGGAAAGGCAGTTTAGCCATTGTGGTGACTTTCAGAAACGAACATATAGTACATATACGGATACAGATCTTTCTCATAAGATGTTGCAATCATGTTGTTCGTGATAAAGACATAATTCTCTGATACACAATGTGTTGCAGGACAGTCATCTATACGACATCCTGATATGACTCTCAAGGAAATCCTTCTTCTGATATTGGAAGATTATTTTTCAAAAAGCACGTGTCAATTAAATTCTACATGTATTCACTACTAGTTTGTAGTGCTTTTAGTTGTGAGGGGAAGTATAGTGGTGAAGGGCACACATTAAGCTAATTACAGAGACAAAAGGGGTGGACATTTTGGAAGATTCCAATGCAATGTGTTTATTTACGGCCTTTCAAATTATAACGCATTAATGAAACTCACACGAGAGAAACCTATAGAAATTAGCATCAAAAGTAGACTGATGTGCTTTCCCTGTAACCTAACTATAAATATGAATGAATGGTGTTCATGATTAGCTACCTCTCTTTGTAGCTGATAAAAATCTGGTAGAGATTTAAGGCATTTTTGTTTATGATGGAGTCCTGCACATCAGCCATCAGGCTCTTGTGAAGTTTAACCAGGTCCTGCATTAGAGAAAGAAAACATCAGTACCTGCACGCAAACACTTTATTTTCATGTCACGTCACCAGAGGGGAAACTTTGTGGGACTTACCGGAATGTTGACAAAAACTTTGTCAATTTCAGCCGCAGAGAAAAATTTCTTCAGAGGATTCAGAAAATACTGGAGAAATAAATGATAAAAACATGAAACATTTCAGCTCTTCTCCACAAACCCCCTTAACAAACTGATTATTCAACTATCTTAATGCTAATTTATAACAAGCAGTGACATGACGACAACAACAACAGCTGGGGCGCACTCATATTGAAACTAATAACAGACTTTATATGAGGTTTCAGATAAAAGGACTATGCATGTGACATTAGGGAATTGATAACCTGGAAGTTCCCTGAAATCCCCCTAAAAAAATATAAACTATTTGCTCTATTTACTGATTTTTTTGTTACATGTTTGATCACCTGTCGTTGAAAATGAGTATGTGATTCACTTCAGGTAAAATTATGATGTAATACTTTGACAACAAGAAATCCATCATTTGGGTTTGACAATTAAAGGAGGTTCAGTACCTTCTCAATGGACTCCAGGGTCTCTGTGTATTTCTCCTCTGTCTGTTTGATCTCTGTAAGGCAGCAGCTCCGGACATCTATTTCTGCCTGCTTCTAGAAAGACACACACCTTAGAAAATGTTGCTTAAATTTTACTATCCAATAAAGAACATTTTAATTTTCTATTGTAGGTTTTTCTGCAGACAAGAGTTTTCTTTTGTGTTCTTTTTTAAAAAAAAACAAGCTATTTACAAGCTACAGTATTTTCGAAGCAGCATGTGCACACTTCCTCCTGCAACAATATGGTGCAGCTCACGAATAGATGGACAGTCGACACACTCTGAGATCACAGCTGAGTTTGACCTTGCGGGGTCCGGTCGAGATCAACAAAAACATTTCAAACGTAAATCATAAAATGGGGGAATGGGGATTTAGTTTTTCTAAAAAGACCAATACTTCAATATGCAGGTATAACATAAGTATTACATGTGAATTGTCTATATTTATTATACTTTTGATCATACTAGTATTTGTAGTTTTAGTAGTATTTCCCTATCTATTATTATCTCATATAATTTTGACTAATCAATCTTAGATACTGCACAAAATGAGGTGGTTTATACATTTTCAGTGATTTAGTTTTTCATGCTTGTCAAGTCCAAAACGTCTTACTCTTGAACATTTACGGGTAAATTACTTTACTTAATAAAGAAACTTACAACTGAACTTTACTGCATCATCTGCATACACAACTTGACAGGTAACAGCAAGGGCCAAACTGTAAGTAACAATTGGCCCAAAACAGAAATCTGTGGTGCTCAGAGTTAATAACAGTAGCGAAAAATAACAAAGTACCTTTAGTCGACTACTGTGCTTAAGAGAGGTTTCGAGGTTTTGAGGAAGGGCCATGATGGTGCGTGACAGAGGAGGATTAATTGTAGCAGGTGTGAAGTTGAAGTGTGAAATTCCACTATAGTATAACCAGCTACAATACTAAAATATTATAATAATACTGCTTACAAGCTAATACAGCATTATTATAGCTTATATATAGCTTATATATAGCTTATATATAGCAGGTGTGAAGTTGAAGTGTGAAATTTCGCTATATTATAACCAGCTACAATACTAAAATACTATAATAACACTGCTTACATGCTAATATATCAATATTATATAGCTTATATAGCTTATATATAGCAGGTGTGAAGTTGAAGTGTGAAATTTCGCCATATTATAACCAGTGTGACATTTTAGCTGTTAAGATTTTGAAGGTTATAGTCCAACAACGTCACCCCCTGAAGCCATTTCAAGGTATTCAGTTTAGACCTAAATTGTGTGTGTGTGTGTGTG